CTCTCTCTCTCTCTCTCTCTCTCTCTCTCTCTCTCTCTCTCTCTCTCTCTCTCTCTCTCTCTCTCTCTTTTCTCTTTCTCTTTTCTCTCTCTCTCTCTCTCGCTCTCGCTCTCTCTCTCGCTCTCTCTCTCTCTCTCTCTCTCTCTCGCTCTCTCTCTCTCGCTCTCTCTCTCTCTCTCTCTCTCTCTCGTTGTGTTTTTTCTTGCCATTTTCTTTCATGTTTTACGTTTTCCTCCATTCCTCCGATCTCTCTCTCCATTCTTTTCCTCACCACTCCGCTTTTCCCTCCTCTCAGTTTTCCTTCCTCTCTTTTCCTTCTCCTCTCCACATGCTCTTTTCTTTACTCTTTCCTCTTTTTCTTCACCTTTCGTCCACACTTTAATCATTTTCTCTCTGCCGCGTCCCCCTTCCCTTCCTCTTTTCTTTCTCTCTTTATTCTTCATCTTCGCTTCTCCTCTTCCCCTTCCCATCTCTCTCTCTCTCCAGTTTCATCACTTTTCTCTTCCTTTTCCTCTTTCCCCTCTTCCCATGCTTATCTTTAACTCTTCCCCTTTTCCACCTCTGATCCTCTTTTTTCCCAACTTCGCTTCTTCCGCTCTTCTTTTCTTCTCTTACGCTGTTCTCTTCTCTTTCTTTGCTCTCCTTCTCTTCACTTTCCCCTTCCCCCTCTCCACTCTTCGCTTTGCCTCTCTTTTTCGCTCCTTTCTCCTTCTCTCCCCCCACCCCCCTGCTCGTGCATGCGGTCGCGGGCGTGTCTGAGCGCGGGCAGCCGCCGCGGGTCCCGAGGCAGGTGTTCCTTGGCGAGGCTTGGGCGCCGGGCGGGCAGCTGTGCATGGCTGGCTTCCTCTCCTCTCCCTTGCTGCATGGCTCTTTTTCCTCATGCTCTTCCTCCTCCTCTTCCTCCTCCTCCTTCTTCTTCTTCTCCTTCTTCTTCTTCTTCTTCTTCTTCTTCTTCTTCTTCTTCTTCTTCTTCTCCTCCTCCTCCTCCTCCTCCTCCTCCTCCTCCTCCTCCTCCTCCTCCTCCTCCTCCTCCTCCTCCTCCTCCTCTCCTCCTCTTCCTCCTCTTCCTCCTCTTCCTCCTCTTCCTCCTCCTCCTCCTCCTCCTCCTCCTCCTTCTTCTTCTTCTTCTTCTTCTCTTCCCTTATCCTCCTCCTCTTCCTTATCCTCATCTTCCTCATTGCCGTGGATATCCACCACGTGCATATGCTATGCTTATGGGCGTTTATGTATGTGGTGGGCTGGAGAGCACGTGCAGCTCCTATTCTCATGGGCGTAAGGGCAATACCAAAGGAAAGTAACGTTTCGAGTATAGACTAAACTCCTTATCCATATATTTTAACTGTCTAACGAGGATTACAGTCTCGAAACGTCAAGGTTTAATGCCGCGTTTCGTTTCCTGTTTGCGCGCACGTTACCGAGCTTGACTTCGAGTTCATGGATGTGAAGGAAGGGGCGAGGTCGCTGGGTGGGCGGAGGGGCGGGGGGGGGGGGGCGTGAACCGTTGGAGGGAGGAAGGAGAAAAGATGCTGCCAGTGGAGGTGGGGGTAGGGGGAGGTGGGAGGGAGGGAAGAGGTAGTGGGGGTCAGAGAGAGAGCAAGATGAATGTGAAATCCATAGGAGGAGACGGGGAGAGGGTAAGGAAGACGAAGGAGAGGACTGTGGAGAGTAGAGAAACAGAGGAAAAATGAAAATAAGAGACGAGAATACATTGCAGTTTAGGGAGAGATGGTAAGGGGGTGAGGGGGGAGGCCCGGTATGCGATGCAAGTACACTGACAGGGTTCGAGGCTGCAAGGTAAAGGTGCAATGATGGTGCATTCATCCTCCCCGTTAGGGTAATGAGCGCCCAGGATAGCAGTCGGGGATGTCACTGTGTTCACCACCAGGGTCGCCGAGGCTTGTGCTTTCGTGTGTGGCTCAGGACTGCGATGTCAAGTCTGATGTCATACCTACTATTCACTTATTTCGTCACCTTACTACTGCGCCGACTTGCGTACATCGTCACCTTACACCTTGTGCTGGTTTACCTACTTACTTGTCGCAACAGACTTGCAACAGACGGATTCTTTTCAATTTTTACTTACATGCATTGGATCTAACTGCGTTTGCCATTAAGCACAAAGCATGAAAGTGTATTGGCGTTCAGTCTCTTACGCCATGGAGTGTACTCTGTATGGGTATTTGTGTGCGCATTTCAATGCGTGTTCGTGTAGCAGCGTGTGTATGTGTGTGTGCGTGCGTGTGTGTGCGTGTGTGTGTGTATGCTTAGTTAATGTGCTCCGGGTATGCGTACTGAGCTTCCGATTTCTTTTGATGTACTGGTGACGGTGCCATTTTTTTGTTGACGTTGCCACCCGGGAAGGAGGATACATTGCGTGCTTTTTTGGGGTTGGTGTCGGAGAGCGATGGATGAAGGGAAGCATTTTGGACCCCATATGCACCCAAGGCAGTCAGTCACAACATCAGGAAGAAAGTCAGGGATTCGATTGATGGGTGTCTTTGCTTGTGAGTTCTTCAGTTTGTTCGTTTGACTGGCTGTTTGTGTCTTTGCGTGTGTGCTTTTGTCTTATTTGTTATGTACGTTATCTTTACTTTTCCAAACTTTGTCAGTCTCACGACACACGAGGTTCATGCCGAATCCTTTCAAAGTTTTATTTATAATGTTAGTATTCTGTCTGCTTGCCTACATGCCTGTCTCCCTGTGTCTCTTTGTCTGTCTATGTCTGTCTATGTCTCTTTCTCAATCCCCCCCTCCCTGCCCATCCCTCCTCTCTCCCTCCATCCCTCCCTCCGCCGTAAGGGAGAAAAGTCGCTGCTTCGTGAAAGTCTCCCGCCAGACGTTGCTTCCTCGACTTCCTGCCTTTCCTCTCCGTCGCCGCGTCATTTTTCTGTCGAGACTTTCACGCGGGAACAGACGGCGCCGGTGACTGGAACCGCGCCGCGTCTTGGCTCTTCTGTCTCTTTTTTGTTTTCTTAAACTCTTCTGTCTGTCTGTTTGTTTTTCCCTGAAGTTTTATCTATCTTGTATTCTTGGTCTTTGTTTTTTTTGTTTTGTTTTCCTCGTTCGCGTAAAGAAATCCATTCAGTCGCGCACATCTATTCAGTTTCGTATCGCGCTCATTAGGCCTAACTGTACCCTGCCGGATTTGCGTTGCATTTTGTGTTCCGAATCCTTGCAAGGGCGTGTGTCCCGGGTTAATTTGGTGCGCTTGTAACTGCCCAAGACGGCGCTGCAGCTCCCCGTTGAGGCCCAGGAAAGTGACGTCGTTTGCCTTGTCGACGGAGAGATGAGCACCTCGCTCCAGGATACCAAGGCGAGGGCGGATCGTCGGGCTGACGCTTGGCTTTTGTTTCCATCGAAGCCGTTTTGTGGCTTTAGGGGGAAGCGGGAAGGGCTGTGGGAGGGCGAGAATCTACTAAATGATGCAGCTATACATGTGTGTGTGTGTGTGTGTGACAGAGACACAGACAGAGACAGAGATACAGACAGAGAGACAGAGACACAGACAGAGATACAGAGATACAGAGACAGAGAGACAGAGAGAAAGGTGGAGGTGGAGGTGGAGGTGGAGGAGGTGGAGGTGGAGGTGGAGGAGGTGGAGGTGGAGGTGGAGGTGGAGGTGGAGGTGGAGGTGGAGGTGGAGGAAGTGGAGGTGGAGGAAGTGGAGGTAGAGGTGGAGGTGGAGGTGGAGGAAGAGGAGGAGGAGGAGGAGGAGGGGGAGGAGGAGGAGGAGGAGGAGGAGGGGGAGGAGGAGGAGGAGGAGGAGAACAATAATAATAATAATAATAATAATAATAATAAGAAGAAGAAGAAGAAGAAAAGGAGGAGGAGAAAGAAAAGGAGGAGGAGAAAGAAAAGGAGGTTGTAGTGATTCGTGCAAGCAGAATTCTCGTCTACACGAGAAGGATCAGAATTGATAAAAGGAAGACCAAACAATTATTAACTTAAGCAAAATAAATCCTAAAAGGTAGAGGAATGTCGTAGCGCCCTCCCCTCCCCTCCCTCATCAATCCATTGATACCGAGGTCACGAAGACCCCTCCTTCCCCCCTCCCCCCTCCGGGTATCTCTCCCATTTTAAGATCCTGCCAAGTCATACGCGGAAAAAATATGGTTTCTGAGTACCGGTAGCTTGTCGTTTTTTCTCTATCTCTCCTTCTCTCCCTTTCTGCGTGGGAGGCAGTGGGTCCTTACGGCGCCGCCCAGCCTAGGTCAGGCAAGGGCAAGCGAGGAAGCAGGAAGCCAGCGTGGTGAGAGAGAATGGGACCGCAATGACACGGCGCCGCGGGCCTCGGGCCTCGGTCCGTCCCCGACCACGTTCCAGCGGCTGCTTGCGCCTGCCTGCTTGCCTCTGCCCGGCCTCGCTTGCCTGCCCTTCTAGCGGTTTCCCTCCGTACACCTCTGTCTGCTGGCTATAGCTGTTTTCCTGCTTGCTCATGTCTGCCTGCTTGTTTCCCTATCCATTCTTGGTTCCCTTCATTCTTTCATTTTTCACCCCTGCCTGCTTTTGTCTGTCTGCTCCCTGCTTGCCGTCACCGTCTCCAGGCTGCGTTTCAACATGTGAATGAAATAGGCCTCCTTTCTCTCCATGTTGTTTTGGCTCTTGTAACCATGGGGGCAGAATTTCAAACCAATTACTTTTGACCTCTGTGGTGTTGCACGCGGAACTCCCTCCAATTCTTCCCTCCACTCCTACCTTCCACTCACTCCCTCCCTCCCTCCCTCTTTCCACTTCTTTCCCCCTTTCCTCCTTCCTCCCCATCCTCCCTGAATGAGGATTGACGTTAAAGAAATATAGCTGCAACCATGTGACCTGAAAAAAAACAAAGTTACAGTCATTGTGTGAAAAAAATGAAATGACACCATGTTACATGAAAAGAGACGGAACTACAGCCATATGTCCTTAAAGTAAGCGAAATTATGACCATGTGACCTTAAAAAAATAAAACGACAAACAGTAAATTGAGCGAAACAAAACCACCGACAAGTAACACCCAACCA